TTGATCACGCCTTTTATGCATGTTTAAAGGGAATTTTGTAGTTGTAATCACGCTTAATAAGATATTTAATAATCTTGTTAGGGTAAATTGTGATTATAATTCAAGTGATCGCCAATAATAGTTTATTTGTGCATTAATATTCAACCAACATAGATAAACAGGTTTAGGGTTAATCCTATTGATTATATGTTAATTAAAAAGCGCACATGAATACGATCAGAATAAAGTAGAGGCCTATTATTAGGGCAGGTTCAATCTCTTTTAGGTTGGATTTGTACCTTCATCCCCAAACCCTTATTTGGTTCATGACCTTATGGAGTTGACGATCTCTTAGATCGTTAAGGGGTGTAACCTTCACTTTGTGAATGGTTTACAAGTTCCTTAAAAACTTGTTGGCGACTCTTTTGCTCTATCTTCTTCCCTTTTGGACGCCACCGTACTTTAGTGTATGATCACAGTGGGGTTCAAGCTAGTGGGATTTTAAAGCTTGAATTTATTCCCTATAGTTAGTAAATTCAAGGAAAATAATAATCAAACAATTAAATTAAATAATTGAAATAGAGATTTGGGACCGAACCCTCAGAAATTAAAATCTTTCACGTCTAGGGCGAAGACAACTTCAAATTTGGCTAGGTGTTTCTAGATCTTGTGAATGCGGAATTTTGTATGCAAAAGCTAGTTTAGAAGAGAGAGAGAGAGATATCAAGAGATTCTTGAGAGTTGGTGAGAATTAGATGATAAGGATTGATGAGAATTGATGATATTTGATGATTGAAAACGGAGGTTTTAGGAGGCTATTTATAGAGAAAATCAGCCAAACGGATAGAAAAACAAATCAGAATTTCGACGAGAATAAAACAGGTTAGCGCCAGATGCTAAACATTAGCGCTAGCGCTTGGCGCCAGGCGCTAATCCCTGTCGTCAGGCGCTAACAATTATTTTCACACGTTTCTTAATTCTGATAAAATTTAGCCGTACAGAAGGGCAAAATCGTATTTTCCTTAAAAACACTCTTTTTCTGATTAAAACTCCAAAAAGTCAACCAAAGTCAATTTATCAATGCTAATTGAATTAGGAATGAAAAGAACCTTCTAGAAGAATCTAGAAGACCAAAATCAATTCTAATTACATTAGGAATGATAAATCCATATTAGGCCCTCCTCTAGATCATTGGGCCGCATATAAGGACTAAATCAAGCCCAGTTTAGTAATTTGGCCATAACTTCCTCATTATTCATCGGAATTGGGCTTATAATATATCGTTGGAAAGCTCCTTTCAAGCCCCATCCAACTACACCATTATTGGACCCTTGTTATGGACCAAACCAAACTGGATTGACTGTTTTCTTAAAATAGGTTTTTAAAAACAGAGAGAAGGGAACATAATAAAAACTATCCGCAACACTAGACTTTCCACACTTTCACTTCATTCGATTATGATTCGATGCGAAAGGTATTCATCACTAGGTTTGGTTTTGGGGAGACACAAATGGGTGTCTACACCACCTAACGTAACTTGATCCTTGCTAGCAAAACCACACAAAAAAAACCTCAAGAACCTTGATTCTGAATATCAATCAATACTTCATTCGCACTTTCAAAGTTCAATCACGAATACACCTTGCAAATAACATAACCATATTGTTATCACATCATAAACTCAAATCTAATGTGCATGGACTATAAAACTCTTTTAAAATAATACTTTAATATAAAATTATAACTTTGAAATAGGTAATTGTATTTTAGAAAACTAACCATGAAGAAGATAAAGGAATAGGATCAAAGAGAATTGAATTCGTTGGAAAGAATAAGCAGCTCTTGCAGATGTCATAACTCCTTCAATATAACTCCAAATTGGGTGATTCTTGATCCTAACCTCAAGGATGTTTTTAGACAAACAATCTTTTGTGAAATGTCAATACCCCAAAAACTGACCAGAAATGCTTGAAAACTGGATTTAATGATAAACGGGATGATTTGCGTAAAAAGAGGAGAAGAAAAGTCTGAAAAGGTTTAGGGAAAAAAAGAATAAGGGAGAAGAAGAGAATTGGGGTTTTGATATGAATAATATGAAAGGTATGAAGGGGTATTTATAGGCTCATGAATGAGAGAATTATTGTAGGAGAATGTAAGAAGAATTATGGTAAAAAGAATAAAGGAATTACTGGATAAGTGAACAAACACTAGTGGAAAAATAGTCATCCGTAACGGGCAAAAACAGCATAACCGTAAAGGACATCGGCCGTTACGTATGCGGCCGTTAAGGATAAGCTAGATTATTTATAACCCGTTATTCGTAACGGACATTTCAAACGCCCGTTACGAATAACGGGTTATTTGTAACAGACATTTCAAACTCGCCACCTATGGATCTGCATCCCCGGGTTTTATATTTCATTTGGAGTGGTTTCGTCCCAATCAGAGTCACAGATAAAAAGTTATAACCGATATACTACATCTTGTACAGTTTAGGTATTTTTTAGCGTAAACTTTCTTTTTTTTTTTTAATTTTTCGTTTATATCTTTTCGTGTCAAGCTAGTCTTAGATAAGTCCTTTAATCCGTTTCAACTCGTATAACATAGGATAATAGATATTTATTTTTATTTATTTATTTTTTTATACTCATGAGTCATAACTCTCCTAGAACTCTACAGTCAATCTTCCTAGTTTCTTGTGATCGATTTTTGTGCTAACCGTAACATGTGTTCTTTGTCTTTGACTGTGGTTGATTTTATTTATGACTAACGATTGCCAATGGACTGTTTTCACCTAGTAAATAGCATAAACATTAAAATTGACAAAATTAATCAAGTTAGTTTGTCTTTTAGTCTTCCGTGCTATTTGGTCATTGGATCCTTTGTTTTTCACAACGTCCTCATGTCTAGCCATGCGATCATACCATGAGTCTTAATAAACTCACCTAATCACACATGTTGAGTCATTGCACACACTTTGTCTTCAAGTAATGCACTATATTGTTTATGATCGTATACTAGCTAAAACCATGCATGCATCATTTTCCGTCGAAATTGGAATGAGTGGAGTATTTTCCATCAGATTTCAAAATTATTGTTTCATACACTCTCCTTTCCAACCCGAGTATTGAGTGAATGCATTAAGTGAGTTCATCCTTACACAGTACTCGAGTTAAAAATCACTAGGCAATAGTTGGAAAAATAAGGGGAACGTCACTCCTTCTTTCTTTCCTTCCAATCAAAGCATCAAAAACAACAAACTTTTTTCCTCACAAGACGGCAAGAAGTAACTCATAAAAAGCCACGAAGACAAAGCACGATGCAAGCTTCTCACCAAGATTTCATGTTTTCTTCTTATTTCATTTCAAAACCCTCCCCCCTAAAAAGTCTAGTATAGGTTCTCCTTATCCATGTGTCACATTTCTTACCTTCTTTATAAATGAACATCTCTTTCTTACATTCGATCATGTGATTAGCAAAAAAGAAAAAAAGAAAAAAAAAATTGTCAAACTGAACACAAGGTATACCAATGATTTGAGGTACATTTACAACCTATTCATGCCTTATTAATCACTCAATCACATATCCATTTCTTCATCAACCACTTTGAGCCTCGTCTAACGATTGAACTTGTTTATTCAACCCACATTCACTCAACCCTGGGATGGGAAAGTGTGCAATTTGTGTGACATTCAGAAAGCAAGTTCAAAAAAAAAGGTAAATAAAAAAAACAATGTCTAAAGGCAAGTGTTCCATTGTCTTCGATATGAACATGTCTCAAATTGCGTCTCTCATCGAATGCTTGGTACCGTGTCTGAGAAACATGAATGCTAAGTGAGTGATGAACCGCATGATCTAGATTGTCTACATTGGTTCAAAAGAATTAAAAAAAAAGGGGAATTCAAATAAGAAAAATATATGAAAAATAAAACTTGCAAAGTCCAAATTTTGAAATTCACAATTATACATCTTGGGGATTCTCTCGGATCTTGAGCCTTTTACCCTTTCTTCTTCACCTATAAGCTTAACCACATTACAACCCTTGAAAGACCTCTTTGAGGTGTACATACACTTATGTAAAGTTCGGTTACAACTACGTTCGACCTGATTCCTAATGGATGATACGTAGGCAACCTCACATCGAGGTGCGGCCACATTCATATTCACATTCACATTCATATCCATACATGATCGAGTCAAAGAATATCCGATGCTTATCCCTATGACCCTATCCATCTAGAGCTAGACTTGAGGCCCTGAACCCACATAATTTAGCCTACCTAGCCTAAAGGGTCACCATCTCGACTCTTCTCACATCTATTTCCCTGACCATAGCCTTTGCAACCTCACCTTAGTATCACTTTCACACACTTTTTGCACACATACATAGTCATATCATCTTTCCCTTAGAAACTCGACCTTTATCATGAAATCTTGTTTCAACACTATGCATTCTTCATCATCTTTCAAGACAATATTCATTAGAAGAAACATTATATACTTGCATAGCTCCCTAACCTGAGCAATATTCATTGTTTCATGCATAGCATATCGTGCTTAGGTCAAGACCTAAGCAACGTTCATTGTGAAATAATCACTTCATCTATATACGTGCTTAGCTTCCAGACCTAAGTGACGTTCAAGATCGTTTCTTTACACCATATATGATGAAGAATGCCTGTGACAAAAGCACTGGTGGAAAGTGTGCAATTTGTGTAAGTTCCATCATCACTTAAGTTCATTCATCTATCGTGTCACATGATGTAATTGTCCTTAGCCTCCTGACCTTGGCCTAAGAACATGCATCGTGCATACATTATTTTCAAGAAAAGCACTGGTGGAAAAAAGTCCATATGTAACGGGCAAAAAGGGGCTATTCGTAACGGGCACTGGCCGTTACGTATGCGGCCGTTACGGATAACCCCATTATTTGTAACGGCAGTGCCTGTTACGGATAAGTGTTTTTTTGTAACGGGCAGTTGAAATGCCCGTTATAAATAACCGTGCCCGTTACAAATAACGGGTTATTTGTAACGGACATCTCCTCTGCCCATTACGAATAATGGGTTATTCATAACGGACATCTTCCATGCCTGTGACAAATAACCCCGTTATTCGTAACGGGCACCTATTCTGCCCATTACAAATGATCTATGACCCAATTAAAAAAAAAAATTCCAGAATATGCTTGACAGCTAGCTAGCATAAATTTTATAAATAAATGAGAGAAAAATTTATTTTATACAATGTATGTATATGCTTCATATACAATCTGCTTTTATATTTATTCATTATTTCCTAAAAAATAACAAAAAAAAAAACTAAAAAGAAAAAACAAATGTCAATTGAAATTCTGTGACCCTTATTGCAAGCTCCTTGTAAAAAGTACTCCATAACAAGGTTCCTATATAGACCTGAATCACCATTAGTATCTCCACCTTGAAAGAAGAAATCTGCATCAAATTGAGAAGTTATAAGAGCAAATACTTACAAAGTTACAAGTATTGACCAAACTATAATAGCTTACATTTAGGGCTGGCAAAAACTAACCCGACCCGAAAACTCGACCCGAGCCCGACCTGAAAAAAGCGGGTTAGGGTTGAGATTTTCGACTCGAAAACTTAAATGAGTTGACACGAACTTGAACCCAAAATTAAATGGATTAGGTTAAGGTTGAAAATCTCAACCCGAAAACGACCCACTTAACCCAAAATAAATTTTAGGTCAAAATCATGTCGGGTCAACCCCAACCCGAACCCGACCTAATAACCCGAACTATTTTAAGTAAAATAAAAAAAAATAAATAAAAAATATATATACAAAAAACGTAAAAAGCTTTAAAAGTGTAAATTAGCCCAGCCCAAATTCCTAAGTGGCTTCCACATATAAAATAAAAACCCTAAATTTTCATTTTCTACCCTCATTTTTTATCAGCCGTTTTATCCCCTTCTCTGTTCTCTCTCTTTAATTTTCTCTCTCCTCAAAAACGACACACTTAAAAACCCTAAAAGGCTAAAATCACTTCACCATTGTTTTATCAGAGTTCTTCCAGTCTTCACAATTATTGAATTCGACTACAATTGTTATCTTCTCACTTCCATACGGTATTTTTCTTGCTTATTATTCTTAATTTATGAGTTTATACGAATGATTTTGTTATTTTACAAGTATATACAAATTGATTTATGCGAATTTATGCTGGTTTATGTAATTATACAAATTAATATATTGATTTATGCGAATTTATGCTAGTTTATGTAATTATTCGAATTGATTTATTCACATTTATGCTGAGTTATATAATTATTCAAGTTGATTTATAGATTTATGCGAATTTATGCTAGTTTATGTAATTATACAAACTGATTTATGCAATTTTATGCGAATTTATGCTAGTTCATGTAATTATACGAATTGTTTTGTGGATTATATGAATTGATTTTGTTATTTTCATGCTAATTATTGATTTTATGTAATTATACGAATTGATATAAGCATTATACTTATTATACGAATTGATTTATTAATTTTGTTATGGATTATACGAATTGATTTTTTTGTTTATTTACAAGTATCCAATTTTTTGGATGATAAAAGAATTAATTCTAGTTAATGTAATTTGGCAGGAAGTAATTATGTCCAACAATATTCTAGAACTTTCTTCTAGAGAGGAAGAAATTGATTCAACAATGGATAATAAGGGAAAGAGAAAAAGCCACAAAGCTTCCCCTAAAAAACCTCGTGTGCTTCTTACTGGTAAGAAACGCCAACGTCCCTTTCTTCTGATGTTTGCGTGCATTTTGAGTTTTTGGATGAGCCTAATGAAAATGGTAATTTTATTTGCAAATGTAAAAAGTGTGGTGTATGCTTTAATGATGATAGTAAGAATGGAACAGGAAATCTTCATCGTCATCTTAAAAATTGTAAACAGAGGTCATTTAGGGATGTTCGTCAAATGATTTTACAGAAAACATCTTCTGGTTTAGGAAATAGAATGCCTGAATTTGATGCTACTTATGTTCATGAATTGTTGTGTCTTGCTATTGTTGAGCATGATCTGCCTTTTCAATTTGTGGAGTATAAGGGTGTTAGGAGATTATTTTCTTATCCGAATCCTAATTTCAAACCTGTCTCAAGAAACACCATTAAATCTGATGTGCTTAAGATGCATAAAAAGGAAAATGAGCAATTGAAAGATGTGTTGGATTGCATTGACCTCTGATTGTTGGACTTCCATAACCACTGATGGATACATTTCATTATCAGCTCATTATGTTGATAAATATTGGTGTTTGCAAAAAAAAGATTCTGAACTTCTCTTATATTGCTTCCCCTCATACCGACATTCATTTATGTGATCATATGTATGGGTTGTTAAGGAATGAGGTTTCAAAAAAACATTTTTTCAATTACATTAGATAAAGCTTCTTCAAATGATGTTTTTGTTGAAAATCTTAAAGGGGAACTTGATTTGATTTGTGGTGGAGAATTTTTTTCATGTAAGGTGTTGTGCTCACATTCTTAATTTAGTTGTTCAAGATGGTTTAAAAGAGATTGATGGGGATGTGTGTAAGATTAAAGAGAGTGTTAAATATTGTAAGAGTTCTCAAGCTAGAAAACAAAGATTCTTAAGTTGTGTAGCACAAGTTGAACTTCAATCAACTCGATCTTTACAACAAGATGGAACTCCACTTACATGATGCTTGGTAGTGCTTTGTATTTCAAAAAGGCTTTAATTCACTTTCAAAAAGTTGATGCCAACTATGTTCATTGTCCTTCCATGGAAGAATGGGGTAGAGTAGAGAAAATATGCAAGTTTTTATAAGTTTTTCATGATTTCACACTAGCCTTTTCTGGAACCAAATATCCTACTTCCAATCTTTACTTTTCTAATGTTTCAAAATTTAGATTGTTGTTAAAAATTGAAATGAGAAGTTCAGATCTTTTTATGCAAAAAATGGCTTACAAGATGCTCGACAAATTTGGAAAGTAATGGGCTGATTTTAGTACATTTATGGCTGTTGCTGTAGTGTTGGATCCACGATATAAGCTTCAATGTGTCCAATGGGGTTACAAGAGGATCTATGGAGACAGTGTTGAATATGAGCTTGAGTTCTCTAAGTTAGCGATTCTATAAGGGAATTGTACAATTCTTATGCTGCATCACAATCTTCATCAAGCAATGAAAATCTCAAAATCTACTTATTCTGAGGTTGTGAAGGAAGCTGATGATGATATTATGAAGGTAAACACTTCTTCCCTTATAATCTGATTTTTATAAGCTGACTTGTGTATTATGAGATTAATATTCTGATTTTGCATAGTGTGGCTGATTTATATAATCTGATCAATCTGATTTTTATAAGTTCATTATAATCTGATTTTTATTATCTGATTTTTATAATCTGAATTTTATAAGTTCATTCTAATCTGATTTTTATAATCTGATTTATATAAGTTGATTATAATCTAATTTTTATAAGTTGATTATAATCTGATTTATATAATCTGATTATAATCTGGTTTATATAATCTGATTATAATCTGGTTTATATAATCTGATTATAATTTGATTTATAAAATCTGATTATAATCTGATTTATATAATCTGATCTATATAGTCTGATTATAATCTGATTTATATAATCTGATTATAATCAGATTATATTATCTGTTTATAATCTGATTATATAATAATATAATCTGATATTTATGATTTGGTTTCTATAGGATTTTGATGATTTTTGTGGCTATGAACTCAGAGATGGATATGTATTATGAGGAGCCACTTATGCCTCGATCCAGCAACATTGATATTTTAGCTTATTGGAGAACTTGTTCAGTTCGTTACCCTGTTTTAGCTCAAATGGCTAAGGATGTTCTTTCTGTCCCCGTATCAAATGGCTAAGGAAGTCGGGTACTTGATTGTTTTGAAGGTCATTGAAGCCAGAAACAGTGGAGTCTATCATTTGCTTAAGGGATTGGGCTTTTGGGGAAGGTAGTAAATAATGTTATATATAATGTAATATGATTTTATTTCTTATGTTATGTATTATTGATGGTAACTTGTTTCTTTTTTTTTTTTTTTTTTTTTTGTGTGTGTGTTTTGTAGACTCTATGGATCAATTATGAAGCTTGAGATGGAGAACAAGAATGATACGCCACATACATCACCTGATTTGAAAAACTTGAAAGCCCTTTTGAATCCTCTAATGTTATTTGAGAACTTGAATATTTGAACTTGTTTGGTTTGTAATTTGTTAGTACACTCTTGGTTTGTAATTGATAATTAGGTACAGTACTTAGACTATGTTGTTTTATGTTGGACTATTTCTTATTTGTTAGGTTTGATTGTTTGAAGCATTTAATGTTTGTGGTTTGAAACTTGGTTGTTCACTTAAGGTCATATTCAGATTAATTTCAGGTCAAATTCAGGTTAATTTCAGGTCATATTTAGGTTAATTTCAGGTTGAAATAACCTTATTTAAACTCAAAACAAAAAATTGGGTCAAATAAGGTCATTTTCTGGTTGACCCGAACCCGAAATAATAGGTTCAGTTTGAGGTTTTTAAATGGATCAGGTTCAGGTCAGGGGATAGCTGACCCGAACACAAACCCGATCCGATCCAATTGCCAGCCCTAGTTACATCAGTATAAAATTAATTATGATTCTCAGAAATCATAATCATTTTACATAATGGGGAAGCAGATTTCTAAGAGGAGAGAACATTACTTAATGTGTTAACTGGTATCCAATTAGAGATAGAAATTATACTTGAAATTTGAGTGAGTGACAAACACATAATTTGAGTCATAATCTTTGAATTGCAAGTCAAATCAAGAGCAAATATTAACCAAACAAAATTATGAGTAATTTTAGAAGAGTTTGATATGGAGAAACAAAATAAAATTCATAATCAATAAAAATGACAAAATGACACACCTCCAGTTGAGAATATAACAAAGATATAAGACTTCAGCTATTTATCTACAAAGAGAGCTTAATTAGAGAGGAACTTCCATGAACAACTACCTAACAAAAAGAACGTATCTAGAAAGCAAGGTTTAAAGAAAGGAGAAAGAGGGTGTTAACATCAATTTCCTTTTACTTAGATACCATTTGATAAACGAAAAGCAGGGAGAACCAAAACAAATTAATGAAATGATTTTACTTACAACATAGCCATTGTTACCCAAAACAAGATTTTCTCTATTAGCAACCCATACAACTATCCTAGGATTGGAGCAGTAATACCATATACCCAAATACCTGTTTCTGTTGAACCTCTCATCAGGAGTAAAGAATCCAAGCTGAATCCAAGCTTAAAAACTTTGCTTGGAGATAGTAAGGTGCTTTGGCTACTATCACTGATTTTAGAGCCATCTGCTAACCAATAACTCGCGCTATAATGAGGTATAAGAAAGGAAAAGAGCAGCATATATATGAACAACCTAGGACAACTCAGAGACATGATGAATAAAGAGATGTACTTCTGATTAAATCACTTCAATAGGTAAAAAGCAACATTTGAAGCTATTGTGAAGGTATTTTAAGCAGCTACGTGGGTTTCAGTAAGAAATCAGAAGGCAACCATTTAAAATGTATATGTAGAAAAATAGAGTGTTCTACATATGGACATAACTCTCTGGGAATTCATGCTCCATCATGCTCCATCTACCTGATTGAACGCTCTGAGCAACAAAGGGTACATCCGAGAATGTTGAATTCACCAAACCATGGAAGCGAGTTTTTCTAAAACTCACGGTGTCCCATCCACTCGCGCCAACCCTTCATGGTTAGGCTTCCGCGCGGTGCATTCGGACAATTTACCATGGACCCTCTATTGACTAAACCATATCCTGAACTTTAGAGAACTAGAGCCATGGTTAGGCTGCAAACTCATTGCATCATATTGTGCCTACTTGACTAATTGTGCATTATTTGTTGTGCATATACTATGATTTCTTAACCGTTTGTTTGACTTGTGTTGGGATTTAATAAATTAATGACTTCAAGAACTTTGTCTAATTAATTAATTGATTAATTAATTTGAGTAAATAAAGTCTAATATTTTAATCAGAATTGACCTAGTACGACTTTAGGCATGCCCCTGTTGATTAATAACACCGAAATCAGTCTCAGATTGAAGCTCCAGCATTGGCGCCAAAAGATGAGCTGTAGCGCCACTCTGTGGGATGTGGCGCCTGGCGACAGCTCTGTCGTGTCGCCACGCGCTACACTACACAGTGCGACGCCAGTCGTTTTGCCGACAGTTCGGATTATCACCTAGTGTCTAATTAACCAGTTTGCTAATTAATTCGGTTAATTTTCGCTGTCAATAGTACTTGGTTGAGTCATTAATCGAGTTTAGGCACTAAGTCCCATGGTCTTACACAAGAGTCCAAACATGTCACTTACACTCAACATTCTCGGATGTACCCTTTGTTGCTCAGAGCGTTTAGGCACTCAACACAAGAGTTTAGGCACTCGTCATTTTTTTAGGGGGGTAAGTCGGATATTAATCCTCCATTTTTTCTAAAAAAAAAATAAATACTATACTTAGCTCTTAAAAATATACACATCATGTTGCTTATTTTTGCCAAAAAATATGCACCCATTTTTTTTTTTTTTTTTTCCTCGTTAAAAAACCGTAAAGTCAAGTTGATTCGAGTCAAGAAATTAAAACGCAAAATGGTTTAAATTATAGCGCGTGGTCAAGAAAGGAAGGACGGTTAATCAAAGACAACCTTTTCGTACAAGTCCAACTTTTCGACAAACCCATAGCTCGTAAGAGGAAAGCTAGGACACTAATGGCAACACAAGAAGTCAATGAGCTTAGGAACCAACTGGTTACCGTGATTGAGGCACTGAAGCTCCTCACACTTAAGATCGATGATCCCGTGAAACAACAACAGATGGACCTCATGCAAGAGAGTCTAAGCAAGCTATCTAGCGACTACAAGTTTCAAGGGCTCACAAGGGGTCTCGGTGGACAAAGATCTTTTTACGCAGAAGTTTGATGCCAACGACATCCCGAAATTCAAAGCAACTGATAACCCTTATTTTCATTTAAGAGATTTCGAAACAATAATGAGTATTAAGGGTATCGATAAGAAGGTTTTCCCCTCTCTGTTTGCCAACAATGGTTCTTTTCTCTCGAGAAAGAAAAGACCTCTACCTGGGAATCCATAGCAAACGCTTTCGATGATAGATACAAGTGCAACATTCAAGTTGAGACTGACCATAAAGAACTTGAAATCCTCAAGCAGAAAGAGAACGAAGGCTTCACCTCTTTCTTTAACAAATGAAGAGAAACCTCAGCTAAGATGATTGAGGTGCCAAGTGAAAAAGAGTTTGTAAGGTTGTTCATCAAAAACCTTCAAGAAAAATATTCTAAGCATCTCAAGTATCAAAATAATCTCCATACCTTCAAGGCCGTCTACGACATTGGGATCAATATTGAAGACGACCTGGCGAAGTTAAAAGCTGCCAACGATAACTCCAACAGTGGCTGGAAAGGAAAGAAGAACGACAATCCTTCTTCTTCCAAAACCACCCACTCAAACAACGTTAGCACTTTTAATTTAGGTGAAGTCCTTGCTATGAACAATCAAGGACAAAAGAAACCATATTGCCATAAGTTATGACACCGCATTTGATCGATTAAATGCAAAAGGTCTTATAACTCCTATTGGACCATTTAGGGAACCACTAGTCGAAAAGAAGTCGGCTAATTGGAACCCCAATGCACACTGTAAGTATCACCAAGGTAGGGGCCATCTCACCGAAAACTGTTGGAAGCTTAAGGAAGCTATCCAAGACTTAATCGATAACAACAAGCTACCATTGCCCCCTGCCAGTAAGAAGCCAAGCATTAATAATGCACCTCTCGCTCATGCCTTGGCTATCTCTGATGAGGAAAGCGAGGTTGACCCCTCGTCTCTCATTAAACTTGTCAAAGAAATCCATGCCATTGAAGAAGACGAGGAGATATTTTTCGACGCCATGGATAGATTTCCAGAACCGACAAGTAAAGAAGACATACAATCGCTCACAGTGTATGATGGAAGGATCGCATTTACTACGTGAAACTCTCAAAGCTATAAAGGAACTTCAAAAGAAATATGACAAGGTTCCACTCCCAAAAGATGAACCTAAGAGAGAATTCATACCCATGGGATCGACTTATGAGGCAAAACGTTTTCCTTTACAAGTCACTGAAAAACCCAAGAAGAGTAATAGACTCTACACTCCAATTGGGATCCCATATGTACAAATGTTCGAAATGCTCTCCGAGAGTGGCGAGATCAAACCTCTCGAACCGAGACCATTCGAATCATTGAAAAGGACAGATAGATATTACTGTTAGTATCATCAATCATGGGGTCACACTATCGAAAACTGTTTCAAATTCAAGAATTTAGTTCAGAAAATGATTGATGAAAAGAAACTAGTCCAAGTTCCACAAGAAGAGGATGCAAATATTAATGGAGTTTGGGACAGTGATGAAGAAGACGTCTACTTAAAAGACATAGTAGGATCTCCACCTTCCGTGTCATACGCCATGGATGACTTTTGGACTGAAGAAGACTCATCGATAGACGTCCTCACAAGATCCGGGAGAATGCAACCTCCCGTTTCAACACAACCCATGCCAACCACACAACAAGTTCCCATACCTATCATTGAAGACAATGATATCGTCAAGCAGTTTAAGAAAACAAAAGTTGAAATGAACGTATGGAAACTTTTGGCAACATCCCGAGAACATAGGTTGGCTGTAATGAATGCCTTGGACAAAATAGGGATAGATTCTGACACCACTCCTGAGGGGTTGGCTAACTTCCTGACGAGTGATCTTCCTAGTCTAATCAATTTGATCACCTTTTCTGACAAGGATTTACCTCCAGAAGGTGACAAACTTTACAATGCATTAAACCTCACGGTAGTTTGCAAGAGAATGAATGTCCCTATGACTCTTGTAGACAATGGATCGGCCATCAACGTCTGTACACTTACAACTGCAAGGATGCTAGGCATAAGGGACGAAGATTTAACTCCGTCTACACAAGGAATAAGGGCCTACGACAACACTCGTCGTCAAACTCTTGGTAAAATTACCATGAACGTAACGGCGGGAGCAATAGAACATGCTACTACTTTCCAAGTAATAGACATTAAAGCTTCGTTCAATTTGCTATTGGGGCGCCCTTGGCTTCATGACCTAAAGGTCGTCCCCTCATCTCTCCATCGATGTTTCACCTATGAGGATCAAGTCTATAGAAAATCCAATCATTAATGTGGAGCACGACGAGGATGATGAAGACTTATGGGGCTTTAACGAAGAGGTCTCCTTAATCTAGGAGGATGAAAGGACCCCTTTTTACCATGACCCCCATTCCAACATGATTATAAATGCTATTCTGAAGAAACAAGGAC